AGAATCAGTCTCACATTCACGCATCACTGCACTACATATTTTTCGAAGTTGTAAATAAAACACATATTATTGGAGTAGGTTTTACAAAAAAATATATATTTCAGTCAATGTGTTACTTGTAGTTTCTCTGTAATTATTTGTGAAATTTGCTAGCAATTCCTTTCACTACCAATTTCCAAATCCCATTTGACCAAAAATATATTTCTGGCAAAAATATATATATATTTTTTTGAATGAATGTTAAATATATTTTGCAAACAGTAAAGCTCAATGAAATCTATTTTTGATATTGAATATATATTTAGTTTCAACCTTCATATACATATATTTGGCCTTTTTTTGTGTATATTTTGAAATATATTTATAAGGTTGTAAATATTACGCTAAATGACAAATGACGGTATTCATTACAATTTCCAAATTAAAATTATATAAATATTTTATCTGACGACCTGTTCATCTTGCAGCATTGTTGAAAACATTCTCATATATCAGAGAAAAAACGTACTGGTTTCAGGGTGTTTTGTCTCAGAGCTCCTTCTTTCTGAACTGTGAGCTCGCCTGTCTTTATGCAGGATGAAGTTCTTTCGAGTTTCCTGCAGAGACACTGCTCATTTACGCACGTGCTCTCTGTCGGGACTTGACAACAAACATGAGATGTGTCAAAACAACAAAGCTCTTCTAAAGTCACGTCTTCTTTCCAGTTGGCCACACGGACGCGCGGATTATAGATCCGGACATGAGCCATTTCACAGACAGACAGATAACTGGGCAAATTTAACTTGTAACGCAAAAGGAAACGAAACGTGCCAACTACACGTAAGAACCGTTACCATGCGTGCCTGTGTTATGTCTCCAAGGTAAAAAGTTCGTCCTTTTGCTGCCTGTTTCAGATGTGCGCTATTTACGCTATTTTTTAAGTAGCGATATTTATTTATTTATTTTTGTGCATTTAAAAATCATTTGAAAATCTATTTCAACTTTAAACCAGCTGAAAAAAAGCAATGCTTTAAAACACTCTAAATGAATTGGTAACAATTTACAATAAGGTTCATTAGTTAAAGGGCTAGTTCACCCAAAAATGAAAATTCTGTCATTAATTACTCACCCTCATGTGAATAAGGACTTTATTCAACAATTCGTCTCCTCCTCGTCACCCTGGTGCCATTTTGGAGAATATCCGCTTGAATGTAAACAGCGTGTGCTATTCTGTGTCAGCTGCGTCACACGTGACGCATCTGACACAGATTAGCATATGCTGTTTACGTTCAATACCACTGATCTATATATAATGTTGTTCAGTGGTGGATACTCTCCAAAATGGCACCAGGGGGACGTGGAGAGACAAATTGTTGAATAAATTCGTTATTTTTGTTTTCTTTGCATATATTGAATATATATTTAGTTTCAACCTTCATATACCAAAATATATTTCAAAATGTATTTCAGGGGCAAGAGAATACATTTGTGAATAGAATAGCCTACTAGAGTTCAAAACTAGATTTACAGTGATTTAATAAAATCATTTTTTTATGTTCCTGGCTGATTTGTATTCCTTTTTTATTCCCATTTTGCTCCTTGCAGCTGTGTTTTATAGTCACGTCACGTGTTATACACAACAAATAAAGTTTTTCTTAAAACGTGACATGAATGTTTTTTTCTTGGATTGAAATATATGGAGGGCAAAATATTATCTATTT